CTCAGCATGCCCTGAACATCATCACATATAATAGCATAACAGAACCTTACCTGACAGAACACACGTACACTGTATTGTCATCACGTGGTGCCACAGCAGAGCACAGCACATCATACACAATCATACAATGACAGAGGTGAGCATAACAGAGAATACTTCAACATAGGAGAAAAATGAGCTTGAGGAGGAACTTCATACCATATTACGCCGTACCATAACATAATCAAACGCGACGTGCGCGCCGAAGTCAGCCCGGCCACAGGTACAAAGAGGTGTTGCAACGACCGATCGGACGACGTATCTAACGGGACAGGCGTCGCGGCGTCACGCTGTCCCGTCGACAACATAATATCTCATATTGTGGCATAGCAGGATAGAACCTTATCGAGCATAACATATTTGAACACCGCTAAATACAGCAAGGGCGCACTAGCATCCACGCATGGCCACAGGAAAAAAGCGGCCTATCATGCGCGACATGCGCGCCAAGCCCAGGCTGGCCACATAAACAAATAGTAGCAGCAATGACCGATTAGAAGCCATACCAAACGTGAAAGGCTCCACGTCGTCACGCAGGCCAGTTCAAAACATAACATAACAGGGCCGTGAATGCTTCAAGACGGCCAAAGAGGCTCCCAAGAAGCTCCCAAAGGCTCCCAAGAGGCCCAAGGAGGCACCCAAAATGCCTCCAAGAGGCTCCCAGGCAGCTCCCAGGAGGCCCCAAGAGTGCCCCCAGAGGCTCCCAAGATGCCCACTCCTCCTGCTCCTCCTCCTCCTCCTCCTGATCTTCCCCGCCATCCACCCCCAAGTGTTCCCCGAAGGGTTTCCACAGCGGCTGGGGGAACACAAGATCCGATAGCTTGACAGAGCTCTTGCCACAACACTCGGCCACATGGGCGATTCCAAAAGGCAGGGGGCGGCGGTGATTCGCCGCAGGCGTCTTCGATCCAAGACGCCCAAGACGGCTTCCAGACGGCCCAAGAGACCATTACAATACCTAAGAGGCCTCCAAGAGGTTTCCCAAGAGAGCTCGAAGAGACCAAACAACCTTGATATACCTTAGGTATCTGATCAGCTCTGGCGTTGCCGCCCGTTCCGCTTCCCGACGCTGCAAGACGCCCCAGGAAGCCCCGAGGATCGCCCCAAGACGGCCCAGCAGGTTCAAGAGCGCTCCGAGCCGGCTCCAGAACGGCCGGAGAGACGTCCAAGACGGCCCGAGAGGGCCCCAACAGTGGCCCGGGATCGGGGACGTGAATTGACAAGCCGAGGTCTTCGCCCCAGGAGACCCCCGGGAGGTCTCAAGAGGCCCAAGGAGCCCCAGAGAGGCCCAGAAGAGCCCCAAAAGAGGCCCAAAGAGGGCATTCGAAAAAAGGGAGTTCCAACATTTCTTTCTTGTTCAAGCTCGCCTGGCAACTTGGCTACGCTTGCATCTGTTTATATATATATATGTATGTATATGTATATGTATATGTATATGTATATACATATGTGTATATATAAATACAGATAGATGTATTTCCTCCTCCTCCCCCTCCTCCTCTTCCGCCTCCTCCTGTTCCTCCTCTGCGGCCTCCTCCCCCTCCTCATCATCACCCTGCTTCCCTAGGGAACCCCTTCACCTCCCCTGTTCCTCCTCTTCTTCCAGCTACGTCCAGCCGCTGCGAGTAGAAGAGCCCCCGAAGCGCCTCTTGGGCCTTTCTTTTTGCCGCCGTGGTTGGACCGTAGGAAGTCTTGGCAGCCACTTGGGCCGTCTTTTCATGGACCCCCAGAGAATAAGCATCATAAAATAGATATCCCCAAGAGTTCGACCACCCAGTCTAGCTAGAACTTGAGCGCGCGCGAAGCGCGCGATGGTTGCAGCGTGTGTGTATATATACACACACGTACACGCATGCGTAATATTAAACATTGGCATTCGACCAAACCCGCCCAGTGTTTGAAAGGAAGGCCTATTACCTGGGTCTGGGGATTTCGTGGGGCGCATCTTGGAGGCCTCTTGGAGGCCTCTTTGGGGGTTCCCGGGGGTCTCCTGAGGGCCTCCCCGGCGTGGGAGCCTCTTGGGGTCTCCCAGGTGCCTCTTGGGGGCGTCCTAGCGATCCCGGAGGCCATCATGGGGTGCGGTGCTCGAAATGCCAGTTCGAGTTCCCCTTCTTGTGCTCACCTTGGGGCTGTGATGGCCTTTTTGCGGGGCCTCCCGGGCTGCCTTGGGGCGATCTTGGGTGCCTCTGTGGCCGTTTTGAGCGCTCTGAAGATCGAAAAGCCGAGCATGCTGCAACCATACAGGCGGCCCGGATTCGTAGGTCGACCTTGCCAGATCAAGGGTACCCTCGTGTCCTGTGTCTTGCGACGCGACCCATGCCTCCTGCATTTGTGTTGCAACGTGGCCCCCGGAAGGGTCCTCTGTCCTCTCGCGTGCCCTGTCCAACCAAGGCCGATTGCACATGAAGCCTCAAGCTGTTTGGTGGTCTGCACGGCCTGCCGGGCGCACCAGGATGCACCCAACAGGCTTCCAGGACGGGCCCAGAGACCACTGCAGACCACGTGGGAAGTATGGTGTCCCGACCACGACCTCGAGGCTTCGGGAAACGTCACGCGTCTGGCCCCTAAAGTCACGCGAAAAGCACCAGGAGAGAGAGAGAGAGAGAGAGAGAGAACAAACAAAACAAAAAAAAAAAACAAGCAAACAACAACCGTAGCCATTTTGGCTCAAGCCACCCTGGCTCAAGCAACTCATTCCTTTCACCAGAACCGAACACTTGTGGTCACCATTCCTTGTTTCATTACTGTTCTCGTGGCCTCTGAGAACATGCAGTCATTATTCGTGTTCTGTGCTTGCTGCTTTACTGTAAAATCTTACGCTTTGCGTGTGCAGGCAGAGGGTGCCACCTATGGGGTCAGTCCTGTTGAGCCATGGTTCAATATACAGAACAATGCCTCGCGACATGAGCAGTATCAATCCTATCTGTTTGCGCTCGAAGGTATGCTGAACGGATCGCATGACGTGATGCACAGCAAACAGAGGCGTGGCAAGAGTGACAACAGAAGTAAGTTCGCAGTGTTTCAGGTAGGATGCGGTGTGCAGTACTGTACGGAGATGATTGACTCTATGACGTCATTGGCCGTTCAATATAAAGATGGGGAGTGGGACCTTTGGTGTGTTGTGGACGACGTGTGCAGCGATATTTTAGACCGAGACCAACTACATATCAAATATTCGTGCAGCAAGTTAGATATACGGGACTTGGTTTACACTGTTGATTTGTTCGCGCACTGTGCTTCGGCCCGCCTTTGGGTGCCTCAGGTTTTGACTCAATACAAGCATTTCCTTTACATGGACTCCGACGCTATCGCAACGAATTCAATCGAACCTGCGCTGCGGCAAATGGAAGAACACACAGAAGTTGGGATTTTTATGGCAGAAGAAGTTGTTAGTGCTACATGCCCAGGCTGTGGTGAATACGCGTCTCGGCAAGCAGTCAGGGCTGGTGTGAATGGGTATAATTCGGGTGTCCTTGGCATCAACAGTGATGTTTGGATCAATGCAGAAACCAGAGATCATATACTTTGGATTCTAGAAGAAGCCAAAGAGGGCAAGTTTCAGCTCCGTATGGGCGATCAAGATGTTCTGAACTTGCTAGCTAAAAGGGGCATTTTAACTCTTCAAGATTTCCCTTGTGAGTTCAATGTGCGTTATGAGGCTGATTGCAAGAATGGGTCTGACTGGGGCACGCCAGTAGTTCTTCATGGGAGCCGGCAAATGTTTCGTGGACGGTGGAAACACGCGCACCATATGTTGATGCGTCAAGCAAATACAATGGTGTATGCATGGGCAGATGATCAGCGGCTTGCTACATCTTTGTGGGAAGGTGCGCAGCTTAACTTCTCAGACTTATACGACGACTGCGCATGGGACAGACAGTGCTCCCGGTAATGAATGGTGGGCGCTGTTTCACAGGGCCAGGTGGACCACGATTTTCGGTGGGTTGGTGAGGAAAATGTTCCCTTCTCCCCATGTTTTCCGGAGCAAGTCGCTGCTAATCCTCTCGGAGGGGTGCCTGATCTTGGACCCGACCCCGCTGTTGAGCGGATCGGGGTCGACTTCATCTGAGGCCTTGCGCTTTTCGGGTTCTCCTCCCGCGCTCAGGCCGAAGGGCTTGGGCAGCGGGTCCTTGACAAGAGACGCCGAGTGGGTGCCGATGCCTAGGATGACGGTATTTGATTTTTTGTTGATGAATGTTTAATGTGGTGGCACCTTTTGCTGGCTTGGGTCTCGTAATGTCCCTTGCCTCTTCCACTGATTCTCAGCAGCTGATATTCTTCAGTGCGTCAGTCAGCTTGTGTGAAAGATAACGAGTTGTTGATTATGATTGTTATGCTTTTCAGCTAACATACATGTCCGCAGGGCGCCCCTTTCAGGTTGACAACGGATACAGCATCTTATCACCTTCCTGCCCCGCCAGGGGCACTCAGTGCTTGCCACTCGCGCCTGGGCGTTGCGCAGAAGAAAAAAGAGAGAGAGAGAGAGAGAGCGAGAGAGGAAACAAACATAAAGGAAGAGTTATTTCAGAAGGCTCAACGGAACCTGCAGACACTGCATTCAGTACCTGCAGCAGCACGGTAGCGGGACTTCGTGGGGTGATCTTGAGCCGTCTCGAGACTCTCTGGCCCGTCTTTGGCGACTATTCGGGCGGTCTGGAGGCCCGGATAGCCGGCTCCAGACAGGGGGAGGGGGGGGGGTCGGCCTTCGAAAACATTCGGTTCATCAGCAGACAACCGAAGAGCATTTTGACACGCCCATTCCGCGCAAGTGCGGTCACGGAGTAGTCCAGGCTTTTCACACGACCAGAGCTATGGGCACCAGCTTTCTTATGGAATGCCGAGCCTGATCGGTACGCGAGGATCCTGGGGCCCAGCGAAAACGGCCGACGTAGTTTCTTAACGGGGGCCAGTTCTCGGCGAAGGTTTGGGCGAAGCGCCCTCTTCGAAGCGCCTCTCGCGAGGAAGACTTTCCTGTGGCTTAGCGTCTCCGACTGTCTTGGCGGCCTCGCAGCGTTCCCGGCCAGCTGCTACCTCAGCTGGTGGCTCGCCAACGGTTGGGAGCAGACGGAGCTGGTGCCCGGGTCATAACAAGCGGCTGGTCCTCCTCCTCTTTCTCCTCCTCCTCGTCCTACTGTTTCATCTTGCCTCGTTCTTCTGGAGGAGCTTCTCCTCGTCTCCCCCCTCCTCCGTTTGAGTGGCCCCGCTGGGCAGATACAGCTGAACGTCAGTTCGTCTGAAGGGGGAGGGGGGGCCCTGTCTGCATGTGAATATGGATGTGTGAGTGTGCATGTATGTGTGTACGCGTATGTGGACAGACGTTCGCGTGCGTGTGTGTGTGTGTGTGCGCTTACGTATTGCGTATGTGCATGTCAGTGTACGTGCGTGTTGCATGCATAGTTTCACGGGGATGCGTCAGTGTGTGTGAAAATGTGGCGCTTCCGCGCGGTACGAAGATACATGCGAGCGTGAGTGATGACTCCAGAGGCTTGGCATCGCTCGGACGTGTGCATTTTCAAGACGAGGACCATCGATGAGCATCTACGATCATCTTGCGAACAATACGCACGACATCGAAAAGTGCACAGAGAGTAAACGTCTCAGCGATGGCGATCAGGAGACTGTTGCGACGAAGCGCGCGCAGAAAGGAGGCTATTCGAATCTGCGCTCCAACGAGTCCCCCCGCACGAGCGCTCGGTGCCGTGCCGGTCGCGCCCGGCGGAAAGTCGCAGGCCAGCGAGGCTGCCTGCGCTGGTTGTGGCCGCGAGTGGGAGGGCGGTGGGCCCCTCATGTTCGTGCAGCGTCGACGGCGCGCTGGACACACGTCGCCGTCAACGTCCTCTGGAAATCGAACAACAAAGAACAGCGTACAGTGAGCGGCTTGAATAAGGAACACTTACTTGTCAAAAGGGGCTCGGTCGTTCCTTAGGTTTACATGCGTTATTTACAGTTCCTTATGCGTTCTTCATTAGTTATCTTTCCTTATGCGTTATTCCTTGAGATAAAAAGGGGCTTCGTTCCTTACTTATCGTTCCTTAGGTCAGGCCGATGACTGTAAGCACAAATTGTTCGATATCCGTGCGGAGTTCTTGAATCAGCGCTGGGCCAGCCTAGCAGCGCCTCCGGCGCTGTCCCCGTCGCGCCCCGCGCGCCAGGGAAGGGGCTCCAGCGCCGATCCGAGAAATCCGCACAGATCTCCAGCAATTTGAGTGTATGTCGCTTCTGGCTCCTCGAGGAAAACGCGCGCGCTGGAAAGCATTCCAATCGGGTCGGCTCAGCGAGATATCTCGAGCGGGCGTGCGGACTTCTGCAGCCCCCCCCCATGGAGCGGCGGGTCCGACTCCTGTTCTTTCTCGTGGGCTTGACCTTGGTGGTCCTCACAGTATGTTTGCCCCGCTGTGACTCAGCAGCGGCATCATCGCAGGCGGGCCAGGTTGAACACCGCCAGTGGCCAAGAATCGAACTACATCCAAGGACCATCGCTATCGGATTGCCGCGAGCGTTCAAGTCTGAACGACTCACGCGGTGTCAAAAATTAGCGCCGACTCCATCGCGACGTGAAATTGCCGCTGATGTTCTCTGAAGTCGACTGGGGCAGCGGGGACCTGAAGGGCCCAGGCCATGCTGGGCCCTCCCCAAACCCAGCGGTGAACGGCGACGGCGCGGGCGCGCAAGGCTGAGCACCTTCCCAGGGTCCGTCTCGGGCCCCAGGAGACCCAGTGTTCCCACGTCCGTCTGGTGACAATTTCGGGCGTTCCAGAAGAGGGGGAATCGAGAGGCGAGACGTTGCCCCTCCTCCCCGGCGCAAGCTGGCGGGGGCAGCTGCGTTGGCGGAGGGGCTTACGGCCAGGCGGATCCGGCGCAGGTGCGGATGCGCCTGTGGACTTGGGAGGCGATGCCGTTGCTGGCCGCAGGAGGGTCTGCCGCAAGTCAGGGTCTCACCTGTGTGCTGGCAGGCGTCGCAGGATGCCCAGGATGGCGGCGCGGGTGCGCGAGGCCCGCGGCTTGTGGAGCATGGTGGCCCTGCCGCCGTCGGCATATGGGCACCGTTTATTTTGGCTTGCGCCCAGCAACATCACCAGACTGCGGCGCCAACCCAGTCAAGTGCTCGGCGGTGCTGGGGGTGACGGAACGTCTTGCCAACCCTGGCTACGACGCTGGAGTTGAAGGACATGCACGTGGAGTTGCAGCGGAAGGTCCTCGACGAGTTGTGCGCGATGGGGATGACCGCCCGCTCAGTCCACGGCTTGGCGAGAAAGGAATGGTTGTGCATCCGTGCCGCGCTTGTTCGAGCTGGCGAGAACCGCTGGCGTCGCGCGAGTGGGCCGATCGAGTGGCCCATCGAAGCCACCAGGTGACAGCGGCATACGGCGCTGGGCCTCGACGAGTGGACCTTGCCGTCAGCAGGCGCCGAGGGCTCTGTACGCCACCTGTACGGGGCACCAGCCCTTGCCAGAGAACGCGATGACCTACCTACGCGCGCCGATGTGGAGTTCAGCGTCCGTGCACCAGGCGGGCGACAGATTGCAGGCTGGCGGCGACTTTTGGCAGGCGGGCCTGGAGCCCCTGAAATCCGAGAAGTCTGGAAACTTGTTTTCTTGCGGCATATCACGCTGGTGGTCGTCCTCGGCGCGCAGTGGCCACGTGAGCGCCGCCCCCGTGCCGAGTGCGCACACGATGTCCGACGCTCTGTGCCGCATGTGCAGTCGCTGCCCTGAGGGTTCGACTGTGCGGTGCGAGTGCTGACGACGTGGCGTTCGACAAATCAGCATTCTTCGTCTCTCAGGCAATGGCTAGTTTTGAGGCCGAGCCTTGTCTGTCAGCACCTGTGCGGCATCGCGCCTGTTTTCATGATGGCACCTCGGTGTATCGAGGAGCTTTTCGGCCACGCCGAGCTGCCTATCGGCGGCCCGCTCGTTGATCATAGACAGGGAGGGGTGGTGACCCTTTTCGATGACGGGCTTTGGGAGAACACTCGTATGATCCGCGCAGGAAACACTGCGGCTCAGCTATTGCAGTGCTCGCGCGCGACGCCAGTGGAGACTTGCAGCCTGATGCTGGCCGCCTCGTTGCCTTAGTCGGCTTCCGGTAGACAGTGCCGATGGTTTGCCCTCGCGAGCGAGTTGACGACAGGTGCGCTGGATTTCGTGATGGACCACGGGACGTTGTGGCTGATGTGGAGGGAGCGCCTCGCCGTGACTAGTCGCAGTCAGGCCAAAGAGGATCTCTGCCACGTGCACATGTCTGGCGAGTTCCGAGTCGAGGGGGTGACGTCGAATGCCGAGGAGCGCGCCCACTTGTACGCATCCGAGCGTAATTACTCAGCTCCACTCCCTCGGCAACAACGTCGCTGATGCGTGGGCTGGCCTCGCGGCTGCAGCTGGCTGCTGGCAAGCAGGCCTGATCGTCGACTCCGCCCCCGCGCGCTGAAGGCCCTCTGGCGGGTCTCTGATGTGCACGCGGGGAGGGAAGTCCGACCAGCGGGAGTTCGCAGGCCGCCGAGAGCCCCCGCTAGCCTAGCGGCTCAGACGTCTGCCCACCATATCATGGTCAAATGTGGGAGCAAGTCGGTCCAGTGGCACCACTACCAGTGCCACAAGTTTGCGCAGTCTTGCAGCAATCTGCAATGTTGCGCACTCCTTGCCTAGCCCTGCCTGCGAGCGCCAGCAGCCTGGCCGCGGCGGCGAGCGAAGACGGGCCGAGTACTGTACCCGTGACAGCCGCTCATAGCAGCGAGGCGTTGCTGCATGACAATACTGTGCTGGCTTTTTCGCCCGGAATATGTTTGACTGCTGTCATCGCCGCGGCCAGTTCGTGACGGAGGATTCAAAGCATTTTGGGAACACATGCTTGGTCCGACGCGAAAAGGATCATCAGACTTGTCGAGAGTTCGCGAAGGTTGGTCCTTCGGAGCGAAGGTGTTACGAGGACGGTTCTTCGGGCAAGTGAGCAGCGCTTCCAGCAGCCTTGCAGATTTCTCGCCCACGTGTGCGCTGCGACAGGCTGCGGACGAGCATGGCGGTCGGTCTCCCGCTGGCTAGGCGCCGTGAAACTTGTATCAGATCAGGGGCTTCATCCTTTTCATCTCCTGCTGCTGTTCATCCCTTTCATCTCTCCCATCCCACCCCTTCCTCAGGATTCCCTCCCCCATCGGTTACCTCCTCCTCCTCTTCGTCCTCCTCGTCCTCCTCCTCCTCCTCCTCCTCCTCCTCCCACTGCTCGTTATCCTGCTGCTGCTGCTGCAGCCGCTCCTCCTCCTTCTCCTCCTTCTCCTCTTCCTTCCCATCAGCATCATCATCATCATCATCATCATCATCATCATCATCATCAGCATCATCATCATCATCATCACCATCATCATCATCATCATCATCATCAGCATCAGCATCAGCATCCGCATCATCAGCATCAGCATCAGCATCAGCATTAGCATAGTCATCATCACCAGCATCAGCATATCATCGGCATCATCACCAGCATCAGCATGATCGTAATCATAATCATAATCCTGACCATCATCAGCATCATCAGCATCATCAGCATCAGCATCATCATAATCATCGGCATCATCATCAGAATCGTCATCATCATCATGAGCATCATCATCAAATATATCGTCATCACCATCCTCATTGACATCACCACATGCATCATCAGGGTCATCATGAACATCATCAGCACCATCACCATCGTCACCAGCAGCATCATATTCACCATCACCATCATCAGCATCATCATCAGCATCACCATCATCATTGTCATCACCAGCATCATCATCACCAGCATCATCATCATTATCGTCAGTATCGTCATTTTGTTTTGTTGTTCAGTATTAACATAATTATGTTTCATCCGTGGTGTCAACATTAGCATCATCATCACCATTATCATCGGCAGCATCACCACGACCATCAACATCACCGCCATCATCATCAGCATCATCATTCGATACATCGTGGTCAGC